CATATGCATAGATCAGCGTATAGTAAATGAGGCAAGGGTGTAGAGTTGCATTCAAGCTATTTTAAGGAGTGAGAAAATTATTTTCACAAGAAAAAACATTTAAATATGTAAGATAAGTTTTAAGGGATAAAATATTTGACTACAGGGGGACTTTAATTAACAGAAATGGGTGTCACGCCATAACATATATTTAATACGACTGAGTTTATATTTAATGTGAATTTAACATTGAAAGTTAATGTGAATAAAAAAACATTGCAAGTTAGGCTACTAATCATAACACTTTCATTGTACAGAAAGAGAGCAAAGAACATTTACATTATCAAAGAACATTTTCACTGACAGTCACTCTCAAAATCTCCCATTAAAATCACTGAAGCTGTTTACACTATGAAATTGATATCTTACAGATTCGTACACACATTTGTACTTTGTTGTTTCTGACGAGAGAATTCGCCAGAAAGAGGTATTCAGTCAGCGAGTGAGTGAAGAAAACACTGGCATTTTAGCGATGACTCATCTGAACACCTCTGATTGGTCATTGCATTCATAAGCTCAACAGCATCGTGTGTGATTGGTTAATGCGCAGTGCTGTAAAAACGTGTCTTTATCTGGCTCAGCGCCATCCAGCGAACGCAGATTTGAATTTAGCAGCTGATGATATGACGCACTGAATGATTTAATCACGCCTGTGTGATTGTATTAAAACATAGAAAATATGAATTGGCTATTTTTGTGTCTTTTGGAAGCTGCATTGAAAATCCACTTGGCTCAAAAATCTGAGGGGACACGTACCCCCTCACTTTGAATGGGCATGACGCCTCTGATTGTTGTTACAATCAAGCTCTTGTGGTTCCTCCCATTTGTTTCAATGTTTTTTTTGTGATTTTGAACATGCACATAATAATAAATAGACCTGTTTTACAAAACTTTAAGAATTTTCCCATAAATGTGTCATATATATCAGCTTTAATGTGGTATATGGCACATAGTCAGGATAATTATGGTTCAAATGTGTTGCAGTTTTAAATATAAGCTTTTCTTTACATTGGAATTTCTCAAAAATATATTAAAGATATCAAGGTTATATTTTCACAGAATGTTCTTTACATTATGTAAGATGATTTTATGTAGATTGCTGATTTTATGTAGAAAACAGTGAAATCATCACAAAAAAAAAGGTTTTAGCTGATAGATTTGAAGTGCACATTCAATATACAAATAAGCACAATTCTTTTTCACAAGGTTATGCTTTTTAGAGTACCACACTGTTAGCTTAGCAACATGCTAACATTAAGTCTCAAGTGCTATTTGTGTCACATGCTGTCAATGTATCAGTGGCCTCCAATAAGTGAATGTTATTGTTTTCAGAGTATGTGTGCTTCACATTTACCAACAACATTTTGATTTTAGTGAGTGCCTCTTCTTTGTGAATATGTCTTATAGCTTCCTCTTAGTGACACAATAAACTAGCTTGTTAAAATGCACACCCACCCGTCGTCACAGGTCTGGCATTATCTTTGAGTGGTTGTACAGCTCTTAACAGCTCCAGCTCAGCACATGATAGATGGATGCTTGAGTAAGCAAAGAAAAGACAGAAAGACAGCAGAAACATGCCAGTTTTTAAATGTTCTTTTTAATTCAAGCCTTAAAACTAAGGTTCACTTTAACCAACAACAAAGTGGTTAGAAGTCATGCTATACTGACATGGTACTATATTTGCAATCACATCACATTTTTTAACACATCCCTTGTTAACCTGGATGAATATGCATGGCTTTGAATCATTTGTTAGCTTTTGTTTCTGGGCAGATGGAGGTATGCCAGGGGTGCATCTTTTTTTTTAGCGCACAGATTTGCCGTTAAATACTATGCTGTTTAATTTTGAGGGCCAGTGCTTTGCTGGAGTTTTGAGGGTTGCACATAAGCTGTCAAAACATAGTGAAGTCAAGTGCAGAGCCGAGGGGTGCGTCTGAGACAATTAGGTCCATGAGAATGAAGTGAAATTAGATAAAAGCTACTTTGAATGATGGGTAGGTGTGGTTAATAGAGACCGCAATGCATTAAGCCCAGTTTGGCCATCCATGGCATTCTACCTAAAAATGATGAGAATTATGATGTTCAGTGCCTGGAGCAATTGTGCTAAACTTAATGTTTTCAAATCAAGGTTGTTGATGTAAAAACAACAACAACAAATAAAACCCTGTAAATAATACAAAGATTA